TTTTATTTATTTTTTATATTAATAATATCGCTTAACCCATTTGCTCTCTCCGCAAGGGTATTAATTATTCGTTGAAACGGAATTTTCTAACCCTTTTTGCGGTTAGCGGCGTTTCAAATTCGTGTTTTATTTGATGGTGAATTTCAACAAAATTAAGCATAAAATATTAAAAACTTCAACTAGAACGTGGTCCATAGTCGACTTTAAGGCGCATTTCAATTCGTTTTTAGCTTTTAAATTTGCATTTTATTGCAATTTGCTTGATGTTTGTTGCCAGTTGTTGTTGCTGTTGTTGTTGATGTCGCTGTTGTTGCTGTGCACATAAATTCTTGTTTTATGTTATTTTATGCATTTGGCTTTTATTACCAATTTGCCTTTAGACAGAGACGCAGCGTTCGCGTTGATTCTATTTCCATTTCAAGGTATCTGCCATGGGACTTCTACATCTATTCTATATACATATATATTTTTTGTTTTGAGCTGGGCGGGCTGCTGGGCATGTTAAACAAATGATAATTTATGCAAATGTCTCTAGTAGGAGCTGCGTAAAAAAATTGAGAAGCGAGAGAGAGAGAGAGAGAGAGAGAGAGAGAAAAAAAACTGCTGAGGGTTGCACAAGTCGCCGAGGGTAGCCCAAAAATTGTCTTTAGTTTGTTTTCCTTTGTGCAGTGAATTCGAGTTTTCTTTTCTCATTTCGGTTTCTTTGGTTTTCCCTTTTGTGCTGACATGCCTTTGTCATTTATTTTGTTTATCTCTGTGCGCTTTGCTTTTTATAACAAATTATTATTATGTTTTATTGTAAGCCTGCCATTTGCTGAGCCCAGCAATTTCTTTTGCTCACTTGCCCCCAGGCGCTGTAAATCACAAGCAAATCAGACACACATACACATACATATATAGACTGACACACACACATATACAGGGCTCGTCCATTTTTGACCTGACATGTTCCCTTTTTTGCTGGCCTTTATGTATTCGTCAGCCTGCATTTGAGTAATGAGCTGCTTATCCGGCCAAAAGGTATTCTTTCCGCTCTCTTCTTTGAAAGTTAATGATACGATTTGGCTTTATTTCGCAGCGCTGTTATCACTAATGAACAGCAAAAGCTGAATGCCTAGGCTGGCGCTTATTCAGATTTCTAAGCTGTTCTAAGAAGGCCTTACGAAAAATTGGCTAAATTAAAAGTAATTGAGTACGCAGTCAACAGCTGCGAAAGCAAAAAAACAGCAGCCTCTTGACTATTTAACAATTTATTTTAATGTTTTTAATTCATTTACTCTTTGAACTAAATGATAAGATAATTGAATTTTATTTTAAAGTATAAAATACAAACAACATAATATTTAATAAAAAACAATAAATAAAAAATAAAAAATATGAAACATGAAATATAAAATGTGAAGTATAAAATATGAAATATAAAATATAAAATAAAAAATATAAAATATTAAATTTAAAACATAAAATTTGATTTACTCTCATTTACATATATAAAATATTTTAAAATTATAAGAATTTCTTTTCAAATGACATTACTTTGTTTCGCTTTGAATTCTGTTGCTATAGCACTCACTATCTTACCAGCTTGTATTGTTAAACACTTTGTGATTATAAAAATGTTAAGAACTCTTTTACTTGACCAGCATTTAATTGTAATCCCAAGCAGTCTCTGAGTCATAAAGTTTTTTCATTAAATTTGCATTGGCCCAAAGGCAACGGCAAACGGCAAACGGCAAACGCCAAAGACGCTTGGGAGCTAGAAAAAACGCTAGGAAGTCATTACAAACAGCTTAAGTTTATGCTAAACACGCCTATATTGCCAGATTTTGCATTCGTTGAATCAGAAGGCAAAACTCAGCCAAACTTAAAATGGAAAGTTTTCTTGGCTGAAGCAAACTGGAAAAGTAGCTAAGGGCAGATGGAGAGAACGAGTGGTGGGGATAGACGGGCGGCGGGCTTAGGTTGTGGAATCAGTGGCATGTAATAATTGTAATTTGGATGTGGCAACAGTGGAGTTTTGGCGAAAACACGAGAAATAACAATCAGAAAGCATTTAGCAGGCAACTTTTGCGTTGTACAAACTGCGAGGGGCGAACAAAGTCAAACTAAAGCAACTGCCACGTAGCAGGTGGCGCCCTCTGTTGTTATGGCTGCATATGTGGGTGACTATATATATATATATATATATGTATGCGTGTGAGTGGGTGTGGGCGTGTGTTAACTCCCCTTGCTTGCTTGTAATGTCAACGCATTGCCCGGAACTTTAACTAAAAGCAATGGCAACAAAAACAAGTCCTTTAACGATTAAACAACGACAGCAAAACCCATATGAGAATAAGAACTCCAACCGCAATACATAAATCTGCACTCAGGGAGTTGGAGCTATATATATGTATGTGTGTGTGTGTGTGGGTGGATGGGTGTGTGTGTATTTAGTAGCAGTTTTAATGGCTTGACCTACTTAGAAGCACCGCCTGTGCGTTTTTACTAAACACTTTAAGAGCAGAACTTGCTTTAATAATAAACTAAATGGAAAATCGGCAAATCAATGAAGAAATATAGTGAAGACTGAAATTCTAGTACAACTCAAGAATGAATTATGTTATAGTGAAAATTAGGACATACTGGAAAGGATTTATTGTCCATCTAAAAACATGAATTTTACAAACCAAAAAGTCAAAATTTCTGCTAGCTCCAATTTTCTAGCAAACATCAGTAAAGTCTTCCATCAAGTAGACTCTTCAAATATGTTTAATAATCTAAACGCATTACCAAAAAAGAAAGAAGAAAGCAAGAGAAAAGGCAGCCACTGTGTGCATACAGAGCAGAGCCAAACAAATGTGGCTCAAAGGCAGCTCGGCCAGACAGACAGACAACACAAACATAGGACAAGCGGCAGCAGCTGCTGGGTGTGGGGCGTGGCAGCCACTTGAAGCGAACAGCGTTGGCAAAGACACAAAAGCCTATTAAATAACATGGGTCTTACACATGCGTCCTCCTTAACAGCAGCAATGGCAGTAGCAGCAGCAAAGAGCCAAAAGTTTTGTGTCCAATTGCCAGTATAGAGCAGAAAATTCGCATGCAGCAAAGATGGAAATATGAATATACGAAAATATTCATGACAGTGTGAGCAAAAAAAAGAAAAGTAAATAAAATAAAAATGCTTGGCGTAAAAAGGGGAAGAAAACGAAAAATCAACAACAACAACAACATAGACAGACATGAAAGAAAGCTCGGAGAAAACTTGCATACAGCCAAATGGCAAAAAGTAAACAAATAAACAAGCAAGCACACAACTCAGGAGCGTGAAGGATCTGTCCTGGCATCATACACTTGACTATGAGCAGAGCCTCTACCTTAGAGATGGGCACGTGCTGAGAGCGGGGGAGTGTAATGCGATATGAAAATGTAAGTAGAAAATTGTTTTCAAGTAGAGAGAGAGAGAGAGTGAGAGAGATAGGGAGTGGGTTTAGAAGAGTTGAATTGAAGAGAGGAAGAGAGAGCAAGAGAGAGATAGCATGCTCTGGGGCGTAGGAGTGTGTCTCTTTATTAAGTGGAATATCTTAATTAGAGTTCAATTATTATATACCTCCAAGTAATATTTTTACAATTTCGACTCATCAAAGCCTATTTTCAATCAGATAAGTTAATCAATATATTGGCATCGTCGTTGAGAAAAATCTGTCTAGATTTTGCATCGTTTTATAAACATAAATTAGGATGAGCAGCTAAATAAATAATAAATGGTGTACGATATTTTCATGTTGCTTTATAATTAAAAAAAAAAAAAAAAAAAAAAAAAAAAAAAACAAAGCGTAATACCAAAATTTTATTCCTAACAAAAATTTATAAAAGTAATAAAAATAAGTATGTTAACTATATATTTATACAAAATATATAAAATGTAACATATTTAAAAAAAAATTTATTACATATACACATACACACTCTACTCTAGAAATGTGTATTTTCATTTTTGGTTATACAGTAAAATAAATATAAATATCATATCAAGATAAAATTATATTAGAACGAATTCATTTTCTTTAAGAAAACGCAACGGAGTTTATCTCAAAATCCTTCGTGTCACGACTTTAGGTCATCTCTATGTCGTTTGCTTGCTTGTTAGCTGGTCATAGGGGTTCGCCATTGAGGCAACTAATGCCACACACTCAACCGCACACACTCACACACATACACACCCACACCAACACTTTTGAACACTCAAACACACAGACAGTCAGACCCAGACACACTTGAGTCCGTAGCTTTGGCTCGCTTTAACTAAGAAACAACAACGCCGTTGGTGGGTCGAAGGACAATGTTTTGTGATGTATCCATGCGACAGAGGACATTTGCATTGCTATAAGACATCGAGGCCATGCGGCTCATAGTTTATTTTTGTGTGGCATCTTTGACCAAATTTAGAGGAAAATTGTATTATTTTAGAGACTCGTTGAATATAAACTGCTGCTGCTCGGCTCGCTGCTGTTGGTCTTTATCTTCCAGATGCTGATGTTGTTCTTAGTTTAGCTGTGCACTTTGCTGTCCATATGACAAAACCACTTGAGAGACCTGTGAGTGCTTTATGCAAGTGGCTTACGTAAACCATTTTGCCTGCGAGTTGTTCAATTTGTGCTTTGAGCGGGTTTTTATCGAAATAAATTCATAAATTAAACATGAAAAGGAGTTTTGTGTTTGTATATGAATATCTCTTTAGAAAATTTGTAATATTTTAGAGCAATTTAAACACACATATCCGGACTCCGTGTGTCAATTTGTTAAGTTCATTAAAAATTGTAGTTTAAGCATTTGTATAGGAATTCGAAAAAGTTTCGCCCGCTGACCTTGAGCGATATTCATGGAAAAAGATTTGGATTTTTTGATCAAAGCGCTGTCGTTGCCCAACTCGCCGCTCTGGTCGGAGTACAGCGAGGCGCAGCTGAGAGATATGCGTGAATCGTTTATTTCCCTAAGGGATGTGCTCCAGCAGAATCAGTTCGATGTGTTACACGAGACGCCGTCTTATATGGTGCGCTTCAAGGCTGGTGGCAATACGGTTGCGGATCAGGTGACCACGGATCAGGTGCCAGATGAATATCAGTTCCCTAAGAATTTCCAGTCATCCCTAACATCATTGTCGTCGTCGTCGCTGAGCGCGGATTATGGAACCACAAATAATAATGATGATGATGATGATGATAAACAGGATAAGGCCAGGCAGGGCGATGACGAGACGAGCACCACAGATAATTTCCTAGCTCTGGTGCCGTATGAGAAAGACGTGCCCAGCACCGAACTGGTGCGCTATGAGCCATGGCTTGAGACGGTCGAGGATGATTCTGACACTGAGACACTGTGCGCCAGCTCCAGCTCTGAGTCTGTCTCACGCTCCGGGGCCAGATCCATGTCAACGTCCTCCGGCGGTGCCATCTCCATCAGCATACCCATGCAAATGGAGTATGTGTGGCACAACAGCGACTACAATGCGGACAGCACAGACAGCGACCTGACCATCATTGCGGATGGTTTTAATTATGTTCTAAGCCGTTAACGAGCCAAACCGCAGACTAAATTCAGGATTATCATTAAAAAACTATGAAAAAAAAAAAAAAAAAAAGAAAAACACCAACAATTAAATTGCACAATTTTGTGCAGATAAAAATATATGTATATATATAATTATATAGTATATGAAAAATCTGGAATGCGTTTCATATCTCAGCCTGTAAAAGTGATTAAAAATGAACGATTTTAATTGAAAATGCGCCCGTTTGCGTAGGCATTCGTGCAATCCTTTTGACCCCCACCGCCACAAAACACTCAGAAAGACACTCACGCATTCATTCGTGCAAATGTGAATGCTGCTGCTGCCTGCCTGCGGTCATTTGTTCATTTCTCTGTGCCGCCTGTCTGCGCCAGACGGCCGACTCCTGCCACATGCTAGTATTCCCCTATTACTCGCCTACAATTGTCCCACAGTTATTTGTGAATATATACATATTTTTGACTTTAATGTTTTGGGCGGTGTAATTTCAATATTTTTATACCCTAGCAAGGGCATTCCAATGGGCATGCTGATGACAGAAGAGAGAGATATATAATATTATTCTCTATAATATTATATATTATGAATAATATTATACATCTAGGGTCCAACATGATATAAAATAAATGTTTTTTAAGTAATAAATATTTTTTTAATAGAAAATAGAATGCAAGAAGTTTAATAAATTTTAAATTGTATGTATAAAAATATTTATTATTTTTGAAAACATTTCATTTTTTGTTGTTAATATTTCGTTATAAATTTTTTTGCTTATATTTATTTTAGATATATATATTTTGTTTCTTATTTATTACTTACAAAAATATTGTTCTTATATTGAATGTTGAATGTTGTTTTTGTTTTTATTAAATTTTTATTTGAAAAATATTATTTTATAATTTTTTATTTCTATTATACTCGCACTATTATTATGTTTGTGTTATATATTTTTTTGTGTTTAAGAAATCAGTGTTGTTCTAGGATATTTGTATATCGATCATATTTTACTTTTAATACTTTTTTTTTAAATGAAAGCGAGTTTCATGTGCGTGCGTGCTGCAATTTCCTTTTGCCATTCGTTTAAATTGAGCAATTGAGAGAATGAGCAGTAGAGAGAGGGAGAGAGAGACACACAGAGAGAGAGTGGGAGGAAGCCAAAGAGCAAGAGGCACACAGACAGATAGACAGAAATAGACAAACAACTACCGAAAATTCTAATTTAATTTCGTATGAAATTTGCTTTGCCTCTGCCCTGGCGGGTGGTTTGATTGCTCTTTGTGTGTGTGTGTGTGTGTGTGTGTGTGCGTGGAGCATGCTGGCGTTGGTGGTGCCTGCTGCACAGGTGGTTTGCCAGCGACCCTCTAAGCAAATTGCTTTCGCTTTTTGCCGCTTTTGATTTTCCATATGTTTTTCGAGGCTCAGGTTAAATGCCATTCATTCAGTATGTGGCCTGCCTGCCTACCAACCTGCCAGCCTGCGTGCCACCTCCTGCTGCTCCAATGAATTGGGCATTGGGCGCAGGGCAATTGCTGGATCTGTGACCATTTATTCTTATATGCATATTAAACATTTGGCATTTGCAGCAATGTCTGCCATCAAATGTGAATTGTGTGCAATTAGTTTAATGGTCGCTGCAATTACTTGAACTGAATGCCAAATGAATTTCCTATTTACCGAATATACATATGTAAATGTTGTTTCCTTAAAATTTATTTAGTTATAATATGGAGGACTTATATCTACAAGTGTTTTCTAGTGTCATCAAGTTGGGTGGTACATATATTAAGTATATTTATTTATAT